AAGGATCTTAGATTCTAGAGAGTGGGGCGGGAGTCAGACAATGAATAAGATAAGGAAATATTCTACTTATGGTGGAATGTCAGCTATAAAGCCAAGGAGAAACCTAGACTAGAGAAGGAGGAATGCTGATGGGTGAGAGAAGATTGGGTTGATGGGGTGGAAATGTGATAACAAACTGTGTGAACAATTGGGGAAGGAATGTTCCAGATGGAGGGGATAGACGTGCTAAGAGTTGAGTGGAGGCATGTCTGCCATGTTCCGGGAACCGCAACTGAGGAGCCCGAGTGGCTGGAGAGAGTGAGCGAGGGTGGTACAAGTGGGAGATGAGGTTGGTGAGGTGTGGGGGTAGGGATGGCAGAGCGCGTAGGCAGAGGCCAACTCGGCAAGAGGCTGTCCAAGGTATGGTAGGTACTGCCTGCATCTGGGTGCCACCTGAGGGGGTGCCACTGAGCAGTTTCTGTTAACCCAGCATGGGCCCAACGTCATTCCTCAAACATGGTAGACATTCAGAGCTAGAGGAGGGGGATGGGCTGGGGAGGGCACTTGCCCTCGGCTGTGGGTACAAGTCCACAAGGGCAACCAGATGAGGCATGGAATTTTGATGAGGTGGAATTCTGATGCAGCACAAATGCGAAAGGCGCCTGACAAGAGTAAGAGGTTTCTGCTGATACATCACTGCGACCAATGTCTGTCCATTCATTTTGAAATGGGACCCCCCCAACACACACAATTTAGACATTGTCCGTGGGCACTCAGAGTGGAGGGGGGATACTTAGAGATTGCTGTAGGCACGTTCCCCTGGCTACACCCTGTACTAAGGGCTCAAATTTAATTTTAAAGGACTTTGGCTTTTACTCTGAATTAGGTGGGAAGCCATGGATGGTTTTGAACTGCTGAGTGATGTGAACTGGTTTACACATTGAACAGAAATCACTCTGGTAGCTGAGTGTAGAGCAAAAGTGAAAGGGGCAAAGGACAGAAGCAGAAAAAACAATCAGGAGGCTTTTGCAATAATCCAGGTGAGAGATGCTGGGGTTTGGACCAAGGCAGTGACTATAGTGGTGGTGAGAAATGGTTGAACTCAGAAATATGTATTTTTAAATTTAACTGAAACTAAAAAATAGTTGCCATTGAGTTCACTCTCAGGGTGACCACAGTGCTTCAGAGTTGAACTGTGTCCAGTGTGGTTTTCTTTTTCTTTTAATTGTATTTTGTTGTTGAGAATATACACTGCAAAGCGTTCGCTGGTGAATCATTTCTCCACGTCCAGCTCAGGGGCACTGCTGACGTCCTTCGAGCTGTGCAGCCATTCTCTGTCTCCTCTGACTTGCTCCTCCCCCTTTAACATACAGGTACTGCCTCCTAATGTTCTCATCTAATCTTTTGAGTTGCTGCTGTCAATTTGATCCCATATAGATAGTTCTTAAAAGAGCATAATGCCAAGACAGACAGGTTTTACTAGTGAAGCATAACTATTTACTATTTTATTAATTTTTATTTTGTTGTTGAGGCTATACATGGCAAAACATATACCAATTCACCAGTTTCTACAAACTCAGAAATATTTTAAAGGTAGACCTGACAGGGTTTATTGACAAATTGCGTGTGGGTTGTGAGTGGGAAAGAGGAAGTGAGGATGAGTTGCAAACTTTGGCCCGAGTCACTGGACATTAACTGAGATGGAAAACTGGGGGGGAAGTAGTTTGAGGGTGTTTGCCAAGTTGGCCAGTGGATACAAGGGTCTGAAGTCCAAGGGTGAGGTTCCTACTGGTGCCTCAAATCTGGGATTGTCAACAAATAGACGGTATTGAAAGCCATGAGAAAGGACGGGATAATGAAGAGAAGACGTGCAAGGCCTGAGCCATGCGACACTGATGGTCAGAGGTTGAGGAGTAGAGAAGGAGCCAACCAAGGAGGCTGAGAAAGGTACGAAGCCAGAGAGGTGGGAGGAACATCAGGCAGGTGTCCTGGCCTGGAAGCCAAGGGCAGAGAGTGTTTAAAGGAAGAGATTGAACAGCTGTGTCAGGTGCTGTCAGTAGGTCATGTGAGACGAAGACTGAGCATTCACTGTTGCGTTTGGTAACATGGAGGTCTCCAGAGGCCTTGCTTCGGTATTAGGTTTCTTCTGTTGCAGCTAACATGTCAGGGTTTTCCACTGCTACTTCGTATGCAAGATTGAAGTCAAATGCCTATTAAGGACTCATGCAGAACAACTAGCTACCCTCAATGTTCTGAGAACTGGACATACGTTGTTAACTGCCATCCGGTCGGCCCCCAGCTCCTGGCGATCCCACACACAGTGATCAAGCGCTGTCTGTCCCACACTGTCCCCCTGATCAGCTGTGGATTAGACTGTGATCCAGAGGGTTTTCCTCGTCTTGACTTGTTTAGAAGTCAAGGCTTCTAAAAAGGTGCTAGGCTTGTCTTCCTAGTCTGTCTTAGTCTGGAAGCTCTGCTGAAACCTGTTTAGCGTCATAACAGCCCACAGCCTCCACTGACAGACAGATGCTAGCTGCACATGGGGTGCATGGACCTTATTAACAAGACAATTTGGTTTTGGCTAAAATTTTGAAAGAATAAAATTGATTGACATTAGCTGTGGAAAACATCAAAATCAGTATCACTTAGCTGTAACAACAGTTAGTTCTCATATAAAGGGCTTTTAGTTTTAGAGGGGAGCCCTGGTAGCACAGTGGTCAAAGTTTTCGGGTGCTAACCAAAAGGTTAGTGGTTCGAATCCACCAGCCACTCTGTGGGAGAAAGGTGAAACAGTCTGCTTCTGTAAGGATTTACAGCCTGGAAAAACCCTGTGGGGCAATTCTACTCTGTCTTTTCCCATCAGTATGCATTGGAATCAACATGACAGCAACAAGGTTTGTTTATTTATTAAACGAGTCCCTCAAACCAAAACCAGACTCACTGCTATCGCGTTAATTCTGACTCACAGCGACCCCCATTGGGTTTCTGAGGCCGTAAATCTTCACGGAAGTAGGTTGCCCCATCTTCTTCTGCGGAGCAGCTGGTGGGTTTGAACCACTGACCTTCTGGTTAGCAGCCAAATGCCTTATCCACAGCCACCAGATTTCCTTAGATGAGTCCCAAGGAGTTCAGATCCCTCCCCCCCAGCCACCTTGGAAGACAGGTCTGGCTATCTTCTGAAAGGTCACAGCCTTGAGAACTCCAGGAGCAGTTCTGCTCTGCGCAACATGGCCGTCACTGTGAGGCGGAGTCGACTCCATGGCAACCAGCAACAACAGCAACAACGTGGCAAGTTGATAACCGAGTTTTAAGGCTGAACACCTCTTCAATATAGGAATCCAGGAAGATACAAACAAAATGAAAAAAGTATTGAATAGAATAGGAATTTCACAGTATTTTTAGAGCAGCAGTTATCAAGTGTGGGCCTTGGACCCTGGCAGCCCCTGAGATCTTAGGGGTTTGCAAGGTCAAAATTATTTTCATAATAACACTAATAAGTTACTGGCCTTTTTCACTGTGATCACATTTGCACCGATGGTACAAAAACAAATGTGAATAAACCGTTGACACCTTAGCCTGAATCAAGGTCGTGCCAGCACACTGTTCCGTAGTGATTGTAGTCTTCACCATAACACACAGGAAAAAAAAGCCATTTAAGAATTCTTGACAAAATAGTAAAAATTGTTAGTTTTCTTAAATCTTGACTCTTGAGAGCATGTCTGTCTTCTGTATGATGAAAAGGAGCTCTGGTGGCATAGTGCCTAAGGCACTCAAGGAGGGGTTGCTATGAGTTGGAATCGACTCGACAGCAGTGAGTTTGGTTTTTGGTTTTGGTGTGATGAAGGAGCCCTGGTGATGCAGTGGTTAAAACAGTTGGTGGCTAATGGAAAGGTCCGCCATTTAAACCCACCAACTGCTCTGTGGGACAAAGATGTGGCAGTCTGCTTCAGTAAAGATTTACAGCATTGGAAAGCTCTTGGGGCAGTTCTACTCTGTCCTACAGGGTCGCTGTGTGTTGGAATTGACTCAAGGGCAGTGCGTTTGGTTTGGATTTGTGGTAAAATGGGATATCCGCTTATAGCACTCCTGCTCGGACTGAAGCATAATGGATGTATTGGAAACAAGCACTCACGTGTTTGAATTATGAACTAAACGACTTGTTTTTCTGTGAAATACCATTCAAAAGAACGATTAACAGACAAACGAACATTAGTAGATTTGGATATTTGGCAGACATTTTAAATTAATTAAGTGAAAATTAATAAAATGAGCCTGTCACTTCATTGAAACAACTGACAGTTTTTTGTTGCCAATGATGCAATAAAAGCTTTTAAAATAAAAATGAGTATTTTGCATCACTTACCATCTACCACAAAGAGCTTGACAGCTTCGCAGTACTTAAAGACTTGTCCTGAGGAGCTTACTGGTGACATTAACAAATGTGATTTTTTGATATTATATAAGGAAATGTGTCAGCAGTTGGGATATCTACATAACTGAATGAGCCAGTACTTTCCAAATGACAAATTGCGATGTTACAAAACCACCTGTGAGTGAAAGATTGACTCAGAATGGAAGAGACTTCTGCTCCTAGCCAACAAGTAGCAACAGGGACAGGATTTACCCCCCTGCCTGAAACAACTAAAAACCAGACAAAATACATGACAAAAGAGCCTTGAAGACAGTGGACATCAGGTGATGGTGGAGGGTGTGCCCTGAGAGATGGAAAACAAACGAGGGGAGCCCTCCATTTGCCCCAGCGTCCTGCCTTGAGAACATTTCCTGTAGACTTTGGTACAGCAGCCTTACATCCTTCCTGGGCTATCCAAGACCCCTTCAGGTCCAGTAGCCCTTCAGGACAGAGAGATGCTCTGCTGAAAGTAGCATGGCCACAGGTGCCTGGATGTTTGTATTTTCTTGCTTCTGTCTCTTTAAACTCAGTATTAAGATGGGGTTCTGTTCCTCTGTCTTCTTAACAGATACTCTCTAAGCCTTCGCCTCTGGCTGTGTTTGTCTTCCAGCTTCATGGTGATGACATGGCATCGGCCAGCTCCAGCCGGGCAGGAGTGGCCCTGCCTTTTGAGAAGTCTCAGCTTACTTTGAAAGGTGAGTGGTGCCATGTGACGTGTTTCTCATTTGAGGTTTCACTTTAATCTCCAGAGAGGAGGTGGAATTACGCCGCACCTTGGTCTGGAAAGCCACATTTTGGAAAGTAGCTGAAGAGTGTAACTATTCGTTTTCATGTTGTTGTTTTTAGATGCCACTGTGTCAATTTTTGACTCACCGAGTAGAACTGTTCCATAGGGTTTTCTTGTCTAGGATGCAGTGGTTAAGGGCTCGGCTATTAACCAAAAAGTCGATGGTTCAAACTCACCAGTGGCCAGAGGAGGAAGTGGCCGTCTGCTTGCATAAGGATTATAGCCTGGGAAACCTTATGGGATGGTTCTGCCCTGTTGCTATGATCGGGGATTTGACAGCAACAGGTAATCTTTAGGGAAGCAGGTCACCAGGTCTTTGTCCTGTGGAACTGCTGGGTGGGTTCTACCTGGCAAATTTCACTTAGCCATCGAGTGCTTAACTGTTGTGCCACCAGAGCTCCTTATTCACTCCCACAGGATTCTTGTGTTACAGGTGAAATTCTTTTTTTTTTTTATTAGGATTTGGGTGAAGATTTACAGAGTAAATTCACTTTTCATACAGCAATTCACATATACTTTGTCTCATGTCATTGACCAAAATTTACAATGCAGCAGCTCCCCTCCCACTTCCTCCCCATAGTTACCTCCTCCCAGTGTCCATCCCTTCATACTCTTCGAGAGGCCCATTGTCTGCCAACCCTGTATATGATCTTGGATACACTCTCCATTTAGACATACATAATTGTTTAGCTTGTTCACCCATCTATCCGTCCCTATACCCATGTTTGCTTTCATTAACAACTCAGTATTGTATTTACAAAGGGGTTCATATTTGTTGTTTGTACTGCCCATGTAAACAGGTGAAATTCTTGAAGAAGAAGGAGAAAGGAACTTTTGGCTAAAATGTCTAAAGTGACGATTCACGCCCCAGGCCTCAGTCCTTGGAGTTCTTTTCCATTTACACTCACTGCCTGAGTGATCTTATCCAACCTCACGGCTTTCAACATAGTAGGCAGTTCACTTCTAGATGCCTGTCGTAACCCGAGGCTGTCCTCTGTGTACCCAGTAGCCATTTTGTCATCTCTACTTGAATGTTTAGTACCAAAACCAAACACCAAACACACTGCCTGTTGAGTCGGACCCCACTCATAGCAACCCCTCCTTGGGTTTCCGAGGCGGTATCACTACGGAAGTAGATTGCCCAACCTTCCTCCTGAGGAGTGGCTGGTGGGTAATGTTTAGTAAACAGCTAAAATTTGTCTGAAATTGAGCTCTTGATTTTTTCTTTCTCACATCTTATGAATACCCGCAGGCAGATTTGGTTTGCTGTACCTCCAAGATGTAGCCACCATTCAGCGACTTCTCACCACCCCAGCCTTGTCTAAGCCACCATCATCTGTGGCTTGGCTTAAGGCAATAGCCTCCTAACCTGTCTCCCTGCTTTTGTCCTTTGCCGTCCTTCAGTCTGTGGGCCACACTGCAGCCAGCAGCCATCTCGCTAAAATGGAAGCCAGAGCTTAACACTCCTCTGCTCAAACCTTCTGAGGTTCTCCATCTTACTCAGAGCAAAAGCTCAAGTTCCCGTATGATGAGAACCTTCACTTCCCACCTCTAGTTATTCTTCCCCGGTGACTCTGCTGTACCCATGTGGGCATCCCCGATGTTCTCGGACTTCTCTGGGCTACCTCCTGCTCTGCGCCTTTGCCCTGGCTGCTCCTGCTGACTCCCATGCTTTTAGCCTGCACGTCTGCCCGCCTTGTTCACTCACTGTCTTCGGTCTCCACTCAAAAGGCTAATGTCTAAAGTTACTCCCAACCCATCTCCTCCACATTCCATTTTCTCCTCAGCTCTTGTTACTATTTAGCATACTTTATTTATTGATTTTGTTTTTAAGTTTCTTGAGAAGGACTAGTCTCAATGCCCTGTTGACTGTGTTCTTTAGTAGAATTAAGCCCCACAAAGGCAGAGGTTTTTCTGTTTTGGTCACTGTTGATACTCCAACAACTAGGGCAGAACCCTACACATAGTGGGCCCTCAGTGAGTATTGCTGGAATGAAAAAAGGTAGTTTCCATAGCCTTAGCTGTGTAGAAGAGTTAGGGGACTGACCATATGGCCTGGGTGGGGAGTGTGTATGTGGGGACAGCACTCAATATCCAGCCTTAGGCCTTTAAGCCAGGTCATCCAAAGGCAGAATTGTGTCTCTTGGCAAATTTTATTTCTCATAATCATTTTTGGAGTGTACCTGTTATTCACTCACTTACTACATACACTCATATAGGTCTAAAGTCTCTCCTTGGTTCCAGCTTCAGAGTCCTATCTTAGAGGAAAACAATAGTAGAAATTTCTTCTGCATCTCTTCCCAGGCCCTTTATACCTGTGCCAGCACATATGTGTAAATAGCACACTGCGGTGCTGCACATTGTTCAGCCCCTTCTTTTATTCATTTGTTGTCTCTTAAGGATCATTTTATAAAGCAGAAAAATGCCGAAGAACATCCCTATTCCTTTTTTTTCGGTCTGTCCGCACAGTGTTCCGCTGTGCGGATGTACAGACAGTTCTTTCAGTAGCCCTCTATTGATGATGAGGACAGAGAGGACTCAGGGACGAGTAGGAACAAACACCGTGTTGCATATATGTGAGCGTATCCCTAAGGTAAGTTCCTGACCGTGGAAGTGCCTGTTGGAGGGGGTGTGGTTTTGTGAGACCAGGTGCTTGCCTTGGAAGAACTTCTTCTCAGCAGTGTGTGAGCATGCCTGCTTCCCCACATCTTCACCAGCACAGTGTGTTGTCAGACTTTTAAAAACTCTTTCTTTTCCAGTTTGATTGGTAGAAGATTATGGGTAGAAGATTATTTTTGCAGTGTGGTTTTAGTTTGCCCTTCTTGGCATTTGACTGCTAACCAGAAGGCTAGAGGTTCAAACCCACTAGCCATTCCTTGGAGGGAAAACTGGGCAATCTACTTCCGTAGTGATACTGCCTCAGAAACCCAAGAAGGAGTCGCTATGGGTCGGATCCGACTCAGCGGCAGTGAGTTTGGGTTTTTGATTTTTAGTGTAAAATTGATGCTATCATTGATTTTTAGCATCTTGGTTTTTTTTTTTTTTTTGCATCTTATCATTTGTTGAAGGGCAATTTATATTTCCTTTTCTATGGATTGCTCATTTCTTATTTCTTTGCCTGTTTCTTCTTATTATTATTATTTTTTGGTAGTCTTGAAACATTTTAATTCTTTTCCTCAAAGTTTCATGTCTGTTCTAGCCCTTTCAGGCAGGGAGATGGTTAGAGTACACTGAGTTTTGGGTTCAGGGCTGTACCCTTTACTACCTTACCTAATAATTGGCAAAACCAGAACAACCAAACCCATTGCTATCTGGTTGATTCTAATGCATAGTGACCCTCTAGGGCAGAATAGAATTGCCCCATAGGGTTTCCAAAGTTGTGAAGCTTTACAAAAGCAGACTGCCTCATCTTTTTCCCACAGGGCAGCTGGTGGGTTTGAACTGCTGACCTATTGGTTAGCAGTCAAATGTTCTAAACACTAAGCCACCAACCAAAATCAAACCAAAGTCTCTGCCATTGAGTTGATTCCAACTCAGAGCAATCGCCATTGAGTTCCCCATTGAGTAAATCTATGGAAGCAGATTGTCTTATCTTCCTTGGAGAAGCTGGTGGGTTCGAACCACTGACCTTTTGGTTAGCAGCCAAATGCCTTAACCACTACACCACCAGAGCTCCCTACTATGCCACTAAAGCAGAAGCCTTCCCATGGAACCTGGTGACATCCCGAGGTCCCTGTATTGGGATCGTATTATGCCGGGGCACACACTAACTTTGTGAGGTTTCTCTGTTGCTTTTCCTTAGTGTGAATTTTCTTGCCAGCGAGGAAGGAGCTAGCTTAGTACTATAGTGGCATCTCAGTATATGTGCATTTAACTTACAGGGATTCAGTAACACCATCCAGGTAGAGGGTGAGGTGGGGAGAGAGAATGAGAATTTAAATATACTGGGTGATCCTTCCCCCTGAGCGTTCCATCCGTGGAGTCTGAGTGTGATCCGGGAGGTGCCACCGTGCTGTGCCCTCTGTTTGCCTCAGTTCCCTTGGGCCTTTCCGTGGTGTCAGCTTCTAGTTTGAAGGTACGGTTTTGTTTTCTCTGAAAAACACTGATGAACTGCACATAGAAGAACACATCACGATGCAATAGAAACCTGGCTCTGTGGGCAGTCTGCCACCCTCTACTGTGGTGGCTTCCCAAGAGCTTTCCAAGAGTGTGAGTTTGGCTGTTGGTGAGTTTTGTTGACTTTAAAAGCTAAATCTTATGTGGCAATGTGATTCCAGGTATGGGAAACAAGTATTTCTATTTCTCCAAACAGTACATAAAATTTCCAGATAAACTTGTTCTTAGGTTGATGCCTTTATTCCGGTTTATCTTTTAAAGACAAGAAGTCTGCAAAATACCAGTGTACTGATCAAGTACAAATTGCAAAGGGGAAAATGTATCTTCACATTGAGAGACAGGCAGAGCCCACGTTAACCCAGGGATTAAATTTAGCATCACCCATAGGAGGAATCAGTGGCAACTAGCAAGAACCAAATTATAATACATAGTTCTTATTTCTTTAAATTAAGGGTCTGGATGCAGAGCTACAAGGAGCTCTGGTGGTTTAGTGGTTAAGGCATTTGGCTGCTAACCAAAAGGTTAGTGGTTCAAACCCGCCAGCAGCTCCATGGAAGGAAGAAAGGGCAGTCTGCTTCCCTAAAGATTCATAGCCTTGGAAACCAAACGGGTTACTGTGATTTGGGTTGATTGTACCGCGGCGAGTTTGGTTTTCGGTTTATGCAACTCTACATGCGCACCACCAGGGGGCCTCAGTTAACTTTGGACTCTGCAGAGTGTTTCATTTTTCTGCTTGGCCATTTCCCAGCACCACAAACGTTTATTTGTAGTACCATCCTTCATTGCTTCTAAATCTTAGGCGCAACTTTTTTTTGTGGGTTTGTTTCTTGATTTTCTCTGTACTGTTCCTTTTGGGCCTAGAGAAGGCACGCAAATTTGACCTTTGACCCCTCCAGGACTGTCACTTCCCCAAAGGGTCTGGCAGGAGACGTTTGCTAACTCTTGGCAGAAAGGAGGTTGGGCTAGGACAGTGTTGCCATCATGGGTAAGGAACATCCATAATAGCATCTGAATTAGGGCACAGGATGGAAGAAGGCTGGGTGGTCTCATCCTACCCACCTGGAGTCCCATCATGGAAAGCATACACACCAGAAGAGGACATTTGTCTAGCTCCAGGGTGTACTCTTCTTTTTCCTTCTTTTTTTTTTTTTTAATTGTGGTTTGGGTGAAAGTTTATAGGCCACATTCACTTTCCATACAGCTGTTCATGTACATTTTGTCTCATAACATTGACTGAAATTTCCCACAGTGCAACAGCTTTCTTTCCACTTCCTCCCCATAGTTATCTCTTCCCTGTGTCCTTCCCTCCCATGCTCCCCTGCCTCGTGAACTGTCTCCATGTGCATACACAGCCCTTCTATTCTCCCACGATTGATCTCTCTAAGGAGTGTATCTACCTAATATAAGTGTTCAGCTCCTATGCCTGTCTTTTGTTTGGGTGGAAGCCACAGGAGTGGGTTTAATTCCAGACCTGAAGGAAGGCTAGGGGACATAATCTTAGGGGTTTCACCAGGTTCTATCAGACCAGCAAACTTGGTCCTTTTTTTTTTATTTTTAATGATTTTGAGTTTTGTTCCACATTGTTCTCCCACTCTGTCCAGGATCTCCTACATAGATCCCCCTCTGAGTGGTTGACAGTGGTAGCCGGGCACCATCTAGTTCTTCTGGTCTCATAGTCATATAGGCTGAGAATCACATGGGGTACCAGTTTCTTGGACTGATTGTTTCCATGCATATTTGGTTTTCTTCATTCTTCTTAGCTGTGGATGAGGAGAGACCTATTATTTCATCTGGGTGGCCACTTGCACGCTTTTAAGATGCCAGTCACTGCTCACCAAAGTAGGGTGCAGAACAAAGTTTTTGTGTAGTGTGTTATGCCAGTTGAGCTTGATGACTCCAGGGTGTACTCTTGCTTAAGTGCTGCTCTGTGAGTCTCCATCTTGCTGGTGCCAAACGAACTTCAGAAATGCTGCTACGTGAAGGGTATGAACAGAAGAGGAACTGCAGATTGCTAACAAGCACCTAGGAAAAATAGCCAACCTCACTAGTAGTTGAAAAAAGCAATCGAAGAAATAAACAGTCGGTGTAGAGCGTGGTGGTTAAGGGCAGGGGCTGTGGAGTCAGGCTGCCCAGATGCGTCCTGCGACTTGAAGCCCCCCGGCTGTATAGTGTGGGCAACGAGCCAGCTTCCAAGCCTCAGTCTCCTCCTGGGTAAAATGGAGGGGACGGTGATGCTCCGGGCCTCAGTGGCCTGTGGCAGGGCTTCAGTCCGGTAGTGTGTGCGGAGCCTGGGTCTGTAGTCGGTGCTTATTAAATCTTAGCCGTCATCTTCATCCTGTTTGTTTCTGTGCAGTCTGCAGAGTGAACAAACACAGTCCTCGGCATTGGCAGTGTTTGGTTACTCACATAGCATGGGTGGGTGTCCACATGCGATTACCCTCTTTGGGACGAAATTAAGTCTTTTTAAGAATTTAAACAAATAGTCATATCCAAATATTCACATACTCAGAAATGAATGGAAATATTGACATTCGTTGTAATTTTCGCTCAGTGAAAAAATCGGCAGCAGTCTATCCAGCAGCAGAAGAACGGTTAACTCAGTTCCGACTTCCGCACGTAGCGGGCTCGTGTTGCAGCCGCTTCAAACTGATTTTTCAGGGAGAAGAATTGTTAAAAGAATTGCGAAAATAAAAGATCACTATCTGGAAGGGGATTTACTGAAATCTTAATGACAGTTATCCCAGTGTCTTCAGATTTGGAGTGATTTTTCTTTCCTATTCATATTTTTAAAATACTCACTTTTTTCCTACAGTAAACTATAGTTTGGATTAAGGAAACAAACAAGCTTTATTTTTTAAAAAGACCAGCACACGACCGCGAGCTTGACTGCCTGCCACAGGGGGGCACCTGGGAGCCCTCTGACTCATCTTTGACTTCTTTCTTTCTTGGTCAGTGGTGTCAGCAAAGCCCAAGGTGCATAATCGTCAACCTCGAATTAACTCCTTTGTGGAAGTGGCAGTGGATGGACTTCCCAGTGAGACCAAGAAGACTGGGAAGCGAATCGGGAGCTCTGAGCTTCTGTGGAATGAGATCATCATTTTGTAAGAGCATGTCTCTTCTTTTGGAATTCAGGAGTGTAGGGGGAAGAGAGAAGGCACCCTGAGGGTGTTGTTGTGGGAGGTGCACATCTCCTGTGAAGCCTCCACCTCTTCGGCCTCTGGTACCCGAAGCACCTCTCCTTAGGTGTTTCGACCTCACTGAGCTCATAGAGCGTTCATTATTAGCTAGTCGATTACAGGGCCAGCTTTGTGGGGAATAAGGTCCATGCGGGTGTCTTCCTGGGGGCCCCCTCCCCTCAACATGTCAGCAGTGTAGTTTATTTGTTTTCATCTGCTTGGAAGTGATGAATCAAGTGTTTGTTTTCCAGGAATGTCACGGCCCAGAGTCACTTAGATTTGAAGGTCTGGAGCTGCCATACCTTGAGAAATGAACTGCTAGGCACCGCCTCCGTCAACCTCTCCAACGTTCTGAAGAACAATGGGGGCAAAAGTACGTAAGAGGCACGGCTGGGGGAGCGATGCCTTTGTCGGGGCGGGGAGTAGGCTACGGAGCTGGGCAGTCATCTCAGCCTCGCAGAGTAACCTGGTGATGCCGCGTTCTCCAGGGACAGGGCTGCGGTGGGCTCCCTCCCTTCGATGCCCCTCTCCCTCATGGAGTCTAGGAAGGCTAAGAGCGCCTCTCTGGCCCCACTGCAGGGTCAGCTCCCTTTGCTCAGGGGCGCTGGGGTGGGATGCAGTGATGTGGCCCCCTTGATCCTTCCTCAGTATCCTCCCCTCTGCCCTTCTCCCCAGTCCAGGAGGTATGGGATATGTGGAATAAAACTTGTCAGATGCCTTCCGCCTAAATCATTGCCATCCTAGTTGGAGCCCCAGAACAGAACAAAGGAGCAGTGTGTGTGCATGCGTACGTGTGCGCACATGTGTGTGTGTTACAAATAGCGTCCTGTGCTGAGTAGGCATTCAGTAAACATTTACCGGTTGTTGGAACGTGGTGGGAGCTCTGTCCTCGTTATTCAGGCTGCCTTTGCTGCATGCAATATAAATCCTCATGTCTATTTATTGCTGTTTGTGGTCAGTGGCATAACCCGTGGCTGTGGTATTTGGACCCTCCCTCATAAAGCCTCTATTCAGAGCGGCACCATATGTGGCAAATGAACACCACAGAGAGAAAGGCTCTTTTTTCTCTTGATGTCTGCAGTCTAGAAAATATTTTCTGAAAGTGGATTTAGCATGTGTGTGTGTTTGTGTGTGTGAGGTAAGAGTGTTCAGTTGCACAGAGAGCAGGGCATCAATTCAGGAGTCATCTTTGTGTGCCCGCTGTTTTCTGATGGGCCCCTGGAATGGGGTTTGAGCCTCACCTGGTCTTTTCCTTTCTGCTGGGTGTGGAGATGCGGGCACCCCCTCTGACTTCCAGAAGTGTTTAGAACCAGAGATGGGCCTCTGTTTGAATTCTGCAGGGAACGTTCCCTGTGCTTTCTTCTGCGTGGCCTTCAGTTTCCCAACCTTAGCCTGCCTTGTGCACTTCAGTTACTAAGGCGCATCTTATTTAAGAGCGTTGTTTGGAAGCACCCCTGTGAAGATTCCACCGTCAGGATGCAGCAGCCACAGTGACGGTTCTCTCTCTTTCCTTCATCTGGCCAGTCAACGTATTTTTGCTCTTGATTATAAATGTAGTTGGGAAAATGTAGAAATTACAGAAAAGCATACAGAACCTAAAAGAAAATAAAATTTCCTTGTAAGCATCATGCCTTGGGATAACTGCTATTCATATTTGATATATACCCTTTGGGCCTTTTTCTCCTGTGTGTACGTATATAATGCTTTTAAAGACATCAGTGATATAAAATTGAGATCATATTTGAACATATTATTTTGGCAACATCAATATAGCTTTAAGTTTTCCTAAAATTCAATTCTTAATGCCTGCCCAGTAGTTTATCATATGGCTGTGTGAAAACTTAAGTTGTGAACATTTGGACAGTTTGAATATTTCTCCATCATAGGTAATGTGATGAACTTACAAGGTTATAAATCTCTGTGCCCACCACTGAATATTTCCTTGGGGGTAAGTGATTGAACTTGTACTTGCTGGATTTAAACATTTTTCAAGGTTTTTGACATGTTTGCTGGATTATCCTCAAGAAAAGTTCTACCATCAGTCGTGGCCTGTCACATTGCACACAGTGGGTATTATTTGTAAAAAAAAAATTTTTTCCATTTGATAGTTGTTAACGATATGGCAAGTTTACTTCATCTGTGTTTTTTCCTGAAACATTTAAAAGTGAATTACAGATGTCTGACATTTTATTTTAGATTATTCAGTATATATCACATTTTAAAAAAGCATTTTCTTACATAATTAGCATAACAACATTCTCACGCCTAGCAATATTAACACAAATTCCTTATTATCCTTAAATACCCAGTTCGTGTTTGATTTCACATTTTGTATTAAAACCATCATTTTCCAGTTGCTCAGACCAGGATTTGGGTAAGGTCTACACATAGCATTTGCCTCTTATGTCTCTGAAGGCCCCTATGTTTCCCCTACGTTTTTTAGGCTTTGATTTGTTGAAGAAGATTGAATACTTTGAAAATGCCCTATTGTTATCCTTTAAGGTGCCCTGGTGGCATACTGGTTAAAGCGGTTGGCTCTTTGAACCCACTAGCCACTCCATGGAGAAAGATGTGGCAGCCTGCTTCCGTAAAGATTACAGCCTGGGAAACCCGAAAGGGCTATTCTGCTCTGTCCTGTAGGGTTACTATGAGTTGGAATTGACTCGCTAACAACAGATTATTAATGTCCTTTACTTGAAGTTTGCATTTTTCTCCTTTGGTTTTGAAAGAGCTGTTTATATTTTAAGTCTTGTATCATCTCTAAATATATTCCAGTTTTTATTTGCATTTTAATTTAATTTTATTATTATGGGCTCTTCTCTCTCTTTTTTTTTTCCATACAGATACTTTAAACCTTTCGTAGTCAAATCTGTCACCCTTTCTATTTTTAGCTTTTTCTTTTATGTTTTGAAGGCGTGTCCCATTCTTAGATCAGTTAAGTAGTCTGTCATCTCTGTATTTTTCTAGTTCTTGGTCACTTTCTGTTTTCACATATAATTCTTCAATCAAGTGAGTTCATTTGTGTGTCGTCTGAGTAGTCTAAGTTAGTTTCTGCCAGGTAGTAAACTGATGGCTTCAACACTGGGGAGTAATCCGTCCAGTCCTCCAGCACTTTGGTTACTTTGACTTATTTCTCTTTGGGGCTTTGCATCTCATCTGTTGTTTTACTACCTTTTTCAGATCATTATGTTTTAGTTGTTACATCTTTACGTTTTAGTATCTGACAATACCAATTTCTCTTCTTTTCAGAATCTTGTTCTCTTCACATATGCCATCCATGAACTGTCAATTATTTTGTCAGGTTCTCTCCTACTCCCCACAGGGAGGAAAAATATCCCTTGGGATTTTGATTATAATTGTGTCATAAAACCCAAAAAACCCATTGCCATCAAGTTGATTCTGACTCATAGGCTGTAAATCTTTCTGGAAACAGACTGCCACATTTTTCTCCTGTGAGTGGCTGGTGTGTTCAAACCACCAGCCACTTTTGGTTAGCATCCGAGCACTTTAATGACTGCATCACCAGGGCTCCTTGTAATTCTGTCATAGGTCAAGTTAATTTATGGGGAATTTCTGTACTGAATCTTTCTGCCATGAACGTGAAATGTCTCTAAATTCATTTAAATATTTCAAAGTTATGTTTATATTTTCCTTTTATGTTTTCTAACGCTTAGTATTGTTGCTCATTGTTTCAGTTCTGTGTTCTATTCAGGTTGCTTCAATATAGGAACTTTAGTGTAGATTTTCAATAATTTTTTTTTTTTTTCTGTTTAACTTTTTACAGTTTTACAATCAGTAGTTTCTCTGGGTTTTCTTAGTGGACATGTATGTAGTTTCCTGAGTGATAACTTTGCTCATCCTAATTATGCTTCCTGTTAGTTGCTTTATATGCAGCTTTCTGCTTCAGAGATGATGGAGCACTGGCAACAATGCCTCTAGTGACTGGTCTCTAGGTGAAGGGTTGGTGTTAATAGCTTGTCTCCTTAATTGATCAATAGTTGATTTTTTTTTTTTTTTTTTAGGAAGTATTATGGCAAGATTAATAAGCAACCATTGGGATAATTATAGATGTTTTTTCTTCTTTGAGTTTACTGTGTTAATTTCCTGATAGTAACAATCTTAGAATTTCTAGAATGTACCTAATTGTTCATGGTAGATGATTCCTTGAAAATTTTGCTAGAATCACTTGTTAATATTTTACTAGGGGTTTTCCATCTATATTCGTAAGTGAGATTGGTCTGTAGTTTGTTTCTATTTCTGTCAGTTTGAATTCAGAGCTAAGCTAATTTTATAAAGTAAATTGAAGCTCTTTTTAATTTCTGGAACATACTCTATAACGTGGTAATTATCTGTTCCATGCGTGCAGGAAAGAGCTCACCCGTAAAACCAACTGGGTCTGGTATCTTTCTTTGAAATAATTCTTTGATGACTTTTTCAGTTTTTTCCCCTCCGTAATTATTGGTTTATTCAGCTTTTCTGATTCATCATGAGTTAATTTTGTTAATTGATATTTCTGAGAAAATTGTTTCATGAGATTTTCAAATTTATTACCATAAGGATTATTATAATAGTATTCTTATTTTCAAAATGTTTATAATTTATAAACATTTTATAATTTTTTAGCTTTAAGAAATTCTTATTTTTAAAGTGTTTTTGATTTTTCTGACTTTAATTATTTACTGTTTGTGTTTTTCTCTCAACTAGGATACCACTTTTTCTTTTCTTTTTCAAAGAGCAACTGCTTGGATTTATTTATCAGTTGTAACATATTTTCTAATGTATTAAGTAACTCACTTCTACTGTTGCCCTTTGTTTTACCTATTCGTTCATTCATAGTTTTTTGAGTTAAAGGCTTAGTGCATTTACTTTTATCCTTTCTTGTTTGATAATGAAAACATTACTGCTTTGAACTTGTCTTTGATTTTTTTTTCCTCCTGGGTATCAGAAATTTTTTTTCCTAAGTAAAATGCACAAATTTTAAGTGTTCTAGCAAGATAAATATTTACATCTGTGTACATCTGTGTAATCACCACTCAGATGAAGATAGAGCCCATTTCTAGGGCCCCAGAAGGGTCTTCAGTTACCTTCTAGTCAGTACCGCCTTCTCTGCCCTGCAATACCTCTGTTCTGAATTTGAGCACCATTGATTAGTTTGGACTGTTCTTGAATTGCCTATCAATAAGATCATGCATTATGTTCTCTTGTGTTTGGCTTCCCGTTTTATCTTTGCAGTTCAGCCATGTTTTTGCACGTGTCAGGTTTTTTTCATTGGGATGTCAAAAACCAGTTGTTGTCGAGTTGATTCCAACTTGTGGCAGCCACACGGGTATCACAGTAGAAGTGTTCTCCATAGGGATTTCTGTCATACGGCTG